AGTATTTTTACAGTCTTTATTTTACAGTTAAAGTATATGTTTATCATATAAAGTCTAATGTTACAACTAATCGGGGATCCCTTTAACACTTACATCTAGGGTTGGGCAATATTGGCAAAAAAGTTAATCACGATTAATTGTGGTATTTAGCCAATAACGATTAATTTGATGATTAATCCCCTGGAGTCCTTGGACACTGTTATGTCCTGGTCACATGACCAATTTAGTGGGAAAGATTTGCTATTTGTAAAAATCTCTTCCAAACTGTGTCAAAATTACAGACTTCAGACTATACATCAAATTTTAATTGTGTTGATAAATAAATTACAGAACGTTTTTGTAAATATTCGTCATATTTGAAGCAGAGAGGAGCACCGAGCAGACTGACTGGTGGCATTAATCGTATTAATCGTCAAGTGCAAAATAATAATCGACGAATGTTTTTCTGACGATTAATTGCACTAACTGCGGTTTACGGCACCTCATGGTCCGTAACGTTATTTGTTTATAATCTGCAGCTGCTCAGCGCATGTCTGCGACATGACGACGACAAACGTTGGGAGAAAGCAGCAGAGTCAAATTTGGGATTTCTTCTAACATGACTGCAAGAAAAATAAAAGCAGGTGTCTTTTGGAAAGAAGCGATAAAATGGGTGGAATGCGTTCCAAGGGGAAAAAAACGCAATCAAGCTCACCCAAAGATGGCTAACTGTGAGTATCTTGATAAGCTTGATAACATTGAAAATATTTTCCCTCAGACCACCTTTGATGGTGGTCTGGACCCCTTTTATCTTTCATACATTTGGTAGTTTGGACCTTCCTGAGCCAAGCTGTAGAAGCTCCTACAGAACTGACCCAACACACAGCAGAGTGAATGAAAACATACGTCCTTGGTAATATTCAGATCATACTTTTTTTTAGCTAAATCTTTGAATAAACTGTTCATCAGACTCCTTATTAATGAAAATGTCTTGTCAGGATTTAAGTGGATTACAAAATTTATAGGTGAATATCTCTTTAGTTTGGTGTTTGCTCTGGTTAGATGCTCTGTGGTCACTGAATGCTATAATGAGCTGTAGCAATTAGAGGACAACAGTCTGAGCAGTGTTGTGTTGGTTATAATTAAACACAGCCCTCCATGGAGTTTTATGAGGCAACATTTTCCACCTTTGCTTTTGCTTTCACACAGAATTAGGTCTTTAAGTAGATGAGATAACAACAAAAATGTGATTCAAAGGCATCTGAACCCTTTCAAAATACCATGATTCAGAGTCTGAGTTACAGAAACACCACAGTCATATTATGATGCTTTGTCCATCTGAAAATTAGCCAATAACTAAATGTCACATTATAATCAAAAAGAAAAAAAATTGTATAGGTCCTCTGGACGGGTTCTTCTTTAATGAAACGTTTCGTCTCTCCTCCAAGAGACTTCTTCAGTCTGAGAGTTTCAGGCAAAATTCAGGCTTTTGAGTCCTGCCTCCAGGTGACTGATACTCACATCACATGGCTATTGCTGACACCTAATTACCACCTATTGTTAACAGGGGGTGGAGTGATACTGCCTATGGCAGCGCTGTAGGAGGGGGACAACTGAAAACGGAGGCCTCCACCTCTGTTTAATGATGGACGGTCTTTCTTCACAAAAATGGCTTCTTTTACTCCTCTCTCAAACCAACGTTCCTCTCTATCAAGAATGAGAACATCCTCATCTCTGAAAGAGTGACCGCTGGCCTGTAAATGAGTGAAAACTGCAGAGTTCTGGCCATTAGATGTAGCTCGTCTGTGTTGGGACATTCTTTTGAACAGTGGCTGCTTTGTTTCCCTGATGTATAACTGGTCGCAGTCCTCCTGGCACTTAACAGCATATACAATATTGCTCTGTTTGTGCCGGGGCACCGGATCTTTGGGGTGAACCAGCCTTTGCCGTAATGTGTTTTGGGGTTTAAAAGCTACTGGGACATCATGTTTAGAAAATAAACATCTGTTTCTCCGAAACACCCGCAACATATGGAATAACCACTGGTTTGGGTCTGGGTTTGGGGTCTTCATTTTCACCTGAAGGTTGCATGGAATCCTGTCTGTGTTTCCTGTTCAGGAAAGCCCAGTCAGGATAACCACACTGCTCCAGGGCCTGTCGTGTGTGTGATTTCTCTTTCTGCCTGGCTCCTGGGTTTGTAGGGACACTGTCTGCTCTGTGGTACAGAGTCCTGATCACTCCTAACTTGTGTTCCAGTGGGTGGTGGGAGTCAAAACGCAAATATTGGTCTGTGTGGGTGGGCTTACAATATACGCCAGTTTCCAACCGTCCTCCATCCGTATATTTTTCCTTTTGATTTTTTACCTGGATTACTGAGATGCATCAGGATTTCACACTACGTTTTAGACAACTTATTAAAAGTTTGTCCAACAATAAAGATGTCCATGCTGAATATGTAATTTAAAAATATACACTGGAAACCTCTTCTGGCTGTAAACATACTTTAATGCTAACAATTAAATCGAATATATCGCTGAAATGAGTTAAATTGTCATAAAATGTTCATAAGTCGGCATAAATTATCTAAAACGTTACATCTGACAGGACCTTAAACCCTTTGAGGTACATATTCACCTCCAGGTGTGAACACTCTTAATCGCTGTTAAATCACCTGTGACTGATTACAAAAAACAAACCTAAACAGCCTCTAAATGTTGGATATTTGTTGGTCTTTAACTTTCTAGGTTCTCACTCTTGTTCCTGCTAATGACCATTTTTCTACTGTAAGAACTGACAGCATTTTCATTACCTGCAGCAACAACCCATGACCTTTGTGATGACATGACAACAAAAGGAAGGGCCTGTTGGGCGGTTTGATGTGTACCAAGTGTTAATCTGAACACACAAAAGGGGTGTTGAAAGAAAAGGTGGCTGCGTGTGTGCAGGAGTCTTACCTGCTGTGCTCCGTCACCGTTAACCATGTGAGGCAGGAGAGGGACCTCCCCGTTCAGGATGGGAGGCGGAGCCAAGTCCAGTGGAATCTGGTCTGTCATCATCATTGTGACGTACATTCATGGAGAACTTGACTGAACTGCCCTATCTGGGAACACACAGAGACAGAAAACAACATCATCGCATTGACAAACAATTTGCTTGCTGTTTTTGGTTTTACTACATTCAGAAGGCGGGGAGGGTTTGTTGTTGTTTTGTTGTCCAACCACTTGGATTAATAATCAAGTTTAGGAGACTAAGAAGCACTGGAATAAAGTGGTGGCTGGAGAAAGAGAGGTCTGGGTTTCCCTGCTTAAGCTGCTGCCACCGCGACCTGGTTTTGGATAAAGTGCAAGATGATGGATGGATGGATGGATGGATGGATGGATGGATGGATGGATGGATGGCTCTAACAACTAATAGCAGAACTAACTTCTCATTTAGTGTTTTTGCTAGAGTTGGAAACCATTAGCAGACCAATAAGCTTCCATTAAATTCTGCTCTGCTAACTTTAAGTCTGCTAGCATTTTCATGGACCTGGCCCACCTAGACCAGGTAGGCCGGGCACTTCGGAGGACCCAGCCTCTGAATTTGGACCCAGCTTAGATGCTTGCCCCCTCTCTGGTTGAATCACAACATCATGTGACCAATGTGCACTCTAGTTTTCTAGTCCTAATCATCTCTTTGGTTAGTCTTCAAATAACAGGTTTGTTTCCCAGTGGGTTTATGATTCAGACACAGAAGATTGTGGATTTATGCAAAGGTAAGGTGGATTTTCTGATTATGTTTTTTAAACATTAGACGTAATGTTGGTCTTATTTGTTTGAGGTTCAGTGAATTCTGGTTGGATTGTGATGAAACTGACTTTAGCCGATGTGGTGTAAAAAAGCTTCAGGATGAACAGCTGAGACCAATGGTTTCATTTACGTCAGTTTCTACAATTTGCTTACTTGCTGATTCAAGTGCTTGTGCTTTTCAGTGTTTGGTGGGCATGGAAATGGTTTTTATGAGCTTTTAGCCAAGATTCTGGCATCTCTGTGGATACCGCACATTTATGTTATGACAGATCTTGAGTTAGCAATTAGCAGTTAGCATTAGCTTCCACTAATTTCTTCAGCATTTGTGATGCTAACTTTTTAGTTAGCAGATTGGCAGTTAGCGAAACTAAATTCTTGGTTGGCTGTGCCCAGAACTGAATAAAAGAAAATGTTTCAACATTTCCTAGAGTTTTGTCTTGTTTTAGTCAGTGGTGGACAGTAACAAAGTACTTTTACTTTATTACTGTAATTAAGTACATTTTTTGAGTATCTTTACTTTACTTGAGTAGTTATTTATTTGGGAACTTTTTACTTTTACTCCACTACATTTYAAAGACAAATATTGTACTTTTTACTCCACTACATTTCTAGGAAGCTTGTCGTTACTAGTTACTTTTTGATCAGCATAGCTTTATAATCAGCTGTAAAAAAAATCTGTTGTTCCGGTTTTTCTTTTCATGAAATGCAATTGGCCACAAGCTATGTTCGTCACAAAGGTAACCAATCACATGCGTARCTTATAGCCTAYGTCACACTCATTAACTCTCGGTAGCGGAGCGCGCGCTCCCATCACTTTACTTTCATTTCAAGCAGAACCAGACAAAAGAAGAAGATGCAATGGAGACCACTGATGAAACGCAAGGAGAGAAACCAGCACACCCATGGCCATATCTCAGTTTAATGTTCGAGGTTTTAGGACTTAAAAATAATATGTTTCAGTTCAAATGTCTTCTCTGTTTACCACGGGTAAAGTACCTTTCAGCATTCCATAACTCACCATCTAACCTGAGAAAGCACATTGAGGTAAGTCAGCAAACATTTTTCTCACTAGTTTAAACGCTTTAAATGAAGTTGACTTTGGTTAGGGTGGTTGTGGTTTAATGCTGTGAGAGATGATTGAAAAATAGCCGACCATTGTGTGCTAACTGCTAGCTTAGAGCAGTATTTCCCAAAGTTGGGGTTGGGACCCAAAGTGGGGTCCTGAAACATCAAGTTGGGGTCCTGAAAAGATTTTCTGAATTAATTACATTTTTGCCTTAATTGTTACAAATGAGTGAGGTTAGTATATTTAAAATGGATAAATGTAGTATAAAAATATTGTTACTATGCCCATGTTTAGTTGGCCTAATGCAAATGTTTATCATCCAAAAATTTTTGGAGGCACAGGTCTCTGCTACTGTTATTTTGTGGGTCAAAAGATGAAAAGTTTGGGAACCACTGCACTTTGGTTCCCAAAGTTGGGCTTGGGACCCAATTATGGGTCATGAAGCACCTTGGATAATCTCCAGAAATYAATTTAAAGGGTAATAAAATAATTGCTGATTAATATTTTCCCTATAACTTTTACAAAAACACAAAATAAGTATAAATAAGTACTTATATTTGTGTTCAAGCTGTTTAGATTGTCAAAAAGCCTGTGTGTTTAGGGCTATTAATGAAGTTCGTGTACTCAGACCAGTAATATTTGGGGTCACAAGTTTTTGCCATGGATATTTTGTGGGTCAGAAGATTAAAAGTTTGAGAACCACTGGCTTAGAGCACCGTGCAGGTGCCCCTTGGGGCTCTGCGCTCGGGATTCCTCTCGGACCCTTGGGCTCTGGTCTTCCCTGTGTCTGCCTCGTGTCTTGGGGGTTGGGTCTCCGGTCCTCCAGAGTCACTATTAAATATTCCATTGGAGAAATCTTGTATGTACACGCATGTTCACAACTGCTCACAAACAGGTGTTCTGATCCGGGGGGGGTTCTGACAGGTCACTGAGTGTGTATATATGTCTGTGTGTATATACTGACATACTGACAATATTTATGAATGTAGGCATGTATGTATGTGTATCTTTATATATGTATGGGTATGTGTATATTTTACATATGCCCTCTATGTATTTATCCATTTATTTTTCAGGTGAGCGGACAGATGTTGGGTGTGTGGTCCTGTGTTTTGTTGGTGTATATTTAATATACTTCTATTTCAATCTTTCTATCTTTCTAATTACTTCTCTCTCTGTTTTTATCTCTGTCTCTATTTTCTCTTCACTTAAAAAAAGTCACTGATGATGAAGAAATAAACTAAATAAACTAATATTTAGTTTAGTTTTCTACTGAAGTGACAAGAAAAAGAAAAGAAAAAAGAAAATGTAATTTGTACTTTTACTTTGTACTTAAGTACTTTAAAATGCATGTACTTCTGAATACTTAAGTATTTTCAAAAGTAAGTACTTCAGTACTTTTACTTGAGTAGATTTTTGACTGAGTAACTTTTACTTGTAGTGGAGTAGATTTGACCATGAGTATCAATACTTTTACTCAAGTACTAGAGTTGAGTACTTTGTCCACCACTGGTTTTAGTGTAACACCAGGGTTCTCCATGGATATAAACATTAGTGGAATCCAACAAGTCATATCTTGTGGTACAAAGGAAGACAGATTAAACAGAGAAAAAAACAGATAAAAGTGGTACCAAGTCAAAGAGTTGTACCATATATAGACGATTTAGGGATTACGGGGTAAATCCTTTTAAAGAACTAATGAAAAAACACATTCAATGAAAAGGTTCATGGTTTTATAGACCGATGTTAGCTTTATACTGCACAGGCGAAGAGTACTTCAGTTTAAAGGTCTTCTTGGGTCAACTGTGTTGTGTTTGGAAGTAGGGCAAAACTAAATCTGGAGATGTTTTTTTTTTCTACTTGCATAATAATAGGCATAAAACCAAAAAGAGCTTGAGAAAATAACATGGCATCACCTAACCGGCTACAGGAAAAAAGAAACCACGACAACATGTGTCAGCTTTGCACGTGCTTCTCATCGGAAGAAAGTCTAAGCTCCTGAGCTTCAACTGTGTGGGTTTACACACACACACACAAACACACACACACACACACACACAAACACACACACACACACACACACTGCAAAAACCACAACATAAACATCCAACTAAGATCCCATCTTCTTACATTAACAATGCATACGCTGCCTATGGAGGGCAACATAAACATAAACTAACAAGTCCAGGTTTACGGTACTTTGAGTATCTTGTTGAAATTTGTTCAATGGTTGATGAGATATTTTGCAAACAGACAAACAAGGTTGACTGACTCCAACAGTTAATGCTAACATTTTAGGCAGAAATTTTGTGTAATGAGTTGCACTTGGGAGTATAATGTGAAAGACTCTCAGCTATGACCAATTAGCTAGAAGTTGTTAATTGAGCACACACAGAAGCTATAAGAGATCATCTCAAACCCACTTGGACAACATGACGGTGTGCATACAAAACAGAGCAGTGCTCTGAAAACAGCTGTGTGCCATTGTGCTTCTTCTCTTTCAGCTGGTGCCTACCCTAACCTAACACTGACAAAGTTGCTGCGAGGGCTTGAAGATCACACAGCTGGGATTTGTACTGTTGCAACATAAACACACACACACACACACACACCACCTCTTTCAGTGTCGTTCAGCATTTTTCAATCAACCTCTTCTTTTATTTCTTGACTTTGTTGTCCCCGTTTTTGTTTCACCATCTTTCGCCATCTGAGCCCCATTCCCAGCTCAGCCTAGACAGCCTGCGTTGAACACACACACACACAGGCACGCACGCACGCACACACAACACACATACGCACGCATGTCCAGGACACTTCACAGACAGATGGTAACACCACCATCAGCTCTGCCAGGAAAAAAGAGAACAGCAACAGAGAAGTAGAGAGGAAGAAAGCGGGAATACTTGAGATGTAACAGAGCGAAAGGATAAGAGGAACTTAAGGAAAAAGTTAAGGGGAAAATCGATAGCATCAGAACACCCCCAAAAATGAAAGAAAAAACTGATACAAAGAAGGATGGATGGACAGATGGATTCCATCCTTTTTCAACGCTAACACAGCAGCTTCTCTAAAGGTTATGTTATGCTGTTTGTAGGCATCCCCTTTTCCTACAAATTGAAATGATCTTATCTTGGTTATTCAGAGTGATTTTGCAGTCCTGTCACAAGTCAAATATTTGACTGCAATATTCGACGTAAACAGCCGTTCAGAATCTGTATCCCATTTAGAAAATATAGAAAGAGCAGCAGGCACCAAACTGACATTTT